TGGCTCCCTCCCAGTCCGCCCTCCCACAGCCTAAGCCACTTACCCAGAGCAGCCAGGTCTGGAGGCCCCAGGGAGCGGTGGTCACATGAGGTGCACCTGCACTCCACAGCAGGTGGCTCAGGTACTGGAGGTCGTGGGTCGAGGCCTGGTCTCCCGTCAGCAGAGAAGCGGGGCTCCCCCACGACGAGGAGTCCAGATGATACAGTGCGAGAGAACCGAGGGTACCATCCACACCCGAAGATGGACCCCACAAAGCCGCACACCTCCCCCATCAGCCTCGGGAGGACCCACACGTCACCGCAGGGCTCGGGCTCCACTGGACTTGCAATGGTGCGCCCACAAGAAAATGAGAGCTCAGGGTCTCAGGCTGGCCGGCTAGGCTCAGCTGTGAGAGGAGCCTCGGGCCCAGCTGCCTGACAACAAAAGCATGCTTGGAATTCTCTGGGACCACGCCCCACCTGAGACCCTGAACCCCAAACCCCAAACCCGGAACCCTGAACCCGGAACCCGGATCCCGGAACCCTGAACCCGGAACCCGGAACCCGGAACCCGGAACCCGGAACCCGGAACCGCTCCACACTTCCCTCCCCGGAAGGAAGGAAGGAAGGAATTGCGGCCCAGAGCACCGCCCTGTCCGCCCTGGGGAGGGGCCAGAGGGCGTGGCCGGAAGTGGCCACCCCCACTTCCGCCTAAAAGGCCGTTGGGGGGTGCTGCCCTGAGAGGTGCGGCCTCTATCTGAGGCATCTTCACAGGTCTCTTCAGGTGTGTCGGCGCGTTACCTGGCGTACAAGTGTGGGGACCACCCCGCCGAAACCCACAATCCCTGCCCCTAGAAAGAGAAAGCACGAGAAATCTGCCCATCGCGCCCAGAGCCCGGGTGGGATTCGGCCCTGCAGCACCCCCGCCCCACCCCCCACCCCCACCCCACCCGGCCTGCTCCCGCTCCCTCTCCGCCATGGCGGCCTAGGGAATAAAGGCTTACTCCAGGGTTGGACTCGGCTCGCTGAAGGGGTTAGCCCAGGCCTCTGCAGCTAAGGAAGGGAATCCTCGGGACACTTGAGGGTTTGGGGGGCCCCACGGCGCTGAAGCCACAAGAGCAGAGGCAGGGCGAGGGTCCAGGACCCGCTGGGCCGGGGAACGGCGCTACACGGAACCCCGGACCTTGCGTTGGGAGGGCCCGCTGAGTCTGAGGACTCCGATGCGCCCGCGTAGTCTCCTCCAGAGAGTCGGGGTGTGGGAGCTCAGTTGCAGGGGGAGGCGGCAGGCCAGCAGAGCACGATTTCCACAGCGTGGGCACAATCAGCTTGAGGGCCCTGCTGAGTGCCGGGACCATGCTCACAGAGCGCGGCACCCAGGCACCCTGGAATCCTTCCTTACTGTCCCCTGGGGAAGCCCGGGCATAGACGTCTTTCTGACCCCACTGCCGCCCAGTTCCTCAAGGATAGCAGCCAAGTGGAGGCTTCTGGTCGGGGAAGAGTCACAAGCTAGCCTGAGGACAGACAATCTGGGGCTCCTCCAGGGCAGCTCCGGAACCCCAAAGACCCCAACTCGCTCTTGCATTTTCCAGTTTGCAGAATCCACGCAGGTGGGACCAAGAGGTCCACACTCGGTTCCCGGGGCTGCCTGTCAGGTAAGCGCTGACCTTGGCGGGAGGGGCCGGGTCTCAAGTAAAGAGACACAGTGGTGGCCAAGGGGAGGAAGTTAAGGGAAGACTGAACAGCGGCTCCTGAATGCGGGAGCTGAGCTTCCTGACCTGCCCCTGCTCTCAGCCCTGGAGACAGACTCCAGGGCAGTTCTATCAGGCTGAGGCTGCCCCTCATGGCCGAACTCCAACTCCATGGGAGGTGAGAGCCTTGAGGTGAAGGGGAAGCCTCCGGGCAGCAGATGGGAGCACTCGCAGCTCCCACCATGGACGAGGTGAGGACCTCGACTTCAGTGCTCACACGATGACACTCTCCCCCATCCAGGTGCCTGCCCTGCCCGCCCTGCTGCCAGCCTTCTGCCGCCTGCAGTGGTCATGCCTCGGGGACAGAAGAGCAAGCTCCGAGCTCGCAAGAAGCGCCAGCAGACCCGCAGTGTGGCCCAGGGTGCCAAGGCTGCCCATGCCGTTGGGGAAGAGGAAGAAGAGTCTCCCTCCTCCTCTCCCGTTCGTGAGGGAACTCCCCCAAGCTCCCCTAGATCCTGCGCTGCCCAGGGGGGTCTGAGAGGCCGAGCGTCTAGCTCTCCTGAGGCAGGGAGTTCTGATGCCAGTTCGGATGTAGATGAGGGCTATAGGGCAGGCTCTTCCCAGGTCTCCCTCAGAGATCCTCTGAACAGGAAGGCGAGTATGCTGGTGCAGTTCATCATGGAGAAGTATAAAAAGCGAGAGCCCATCGTGCAGGCAGACATGCTGAAGGTAGTCAAGAGAAAGTATAAGAAGCATTTCCCCGAGATCCTCAGGAGAACCTCTGAGCGTGTTGAGCTGATCTTTGGCCTCGAGTTGGAGGAAGTCGACCCCATTAGTCGCTCCTATGTCCTTATCAACAAGCTCAGCCTCTCCAGTGAGGATGAGGTCAGTGGGGAAAGGGTGCTGCCCAAGACAGGGCTGGTGATGACACTCTTGGCTGTGATCTTTATGAAGGGCAACCGTGCCACTGAGGCGGAGATGTGGGAGTTCCTGAATGCTCTGGGGATCTATGCTGGGAGGAGGCACTCAATCTTTGGGGAGCCCCGGAAGCTCATCACCGAAGATCTGGTGCAGGAAAATTACCTGGAGTACCGTCAGGTGCGCTTTAGGAGTCCTCCAGTCTATGAATTCGTGTGGGGTCCCAGAGCACATGCTGAAACTACCAAGATGAAAGTCCTGGAAGTTTTGGCCAAGATCAATGACACTGTCCCTCGCTGCTACCCTGATCTCTATGAGGAGGCTTTAAGAGATGAGCAAGAGAGAGCAGAACTGCAAGCTGTAGCCAGGGCCTCCACGGTTGCCAGGTCCAGGGTGGGTTCTAGGGCCAAGTCCCGCAGGTCCTCCCACACCTAATGAGGTCTGAGCAGCATTTTTCACTTAGTGGGAAGAGGGTAGTCAAAGCTCTAACTAACAGAGGCTGGAGGCGACAAAATAGGTATTTTCAAATGTCATTCAAAGCTTACATTGTTGCAAAGTCTGTTTCTGAATCTCATGGATCACACCTTCATGACTGTTTCTCAGATTTATGACAAAGAGTTTTGCTGTTTCTGAATAAATCGAAAGACCTTTAGTGTGTGTGTGTGTGTGTGTGTGTGTTTGATTAACCATAGAATAAGAAAACACAGCAACGGGATAGGTACATTCATGGAAACATGTAAGAACACGACAGGGTAACAGAATCGCAAAATGCTTAAACAACACTAGGGCTCTTTTGAAATTAAATGGTGCCCACTTGGATATGGCTTGTTTTCTTAACATGTGTATCAAATTTTGTGTATTATATTGGACTTCCTGCTCAGAGATGTCATTTTAATTTTATTATGATTCTCCAGGCATTAATTGTGAGAAAAGGATCCCACCACTGCCCAGATAATTTGAGTCCTGCAGCAGCTACCCTATGTTAGGAGGATAGGGAGATACTCCCCAAGACATAAACTTGAAAAAGAGGTTAAGAAGAGGAGACTGCAGATGGGAATAGCGCAGTGCACGTCATCTGAGGGGATGGGAATAGCGCAGTGCACATCATCTGAGGGGACCGCAGATTCTCAACAGTGAGCTGACCCAGAGCCTGGCCCTGGCTGATTTCAGCAAGCAGCCTCTCAAGGATGTGAGGTCCTTGTCCCAGCTGGGAGGTTTCTTAAGCAAGCAAATGGAGGAGGCCCAGCCCTACCAGCAGATAAGAGGAGGCCCCTGGGGGGGTGAGGGGGACACAGGAAGCCCTGCCCCTCAGAACTGACAGGACCACTCGCCCCTCCCCCACTTGCGGGCAGATCTGTGACACCAGGGCGTTGTTGCCAGGATGTGACATACTTACTTCCTCCTATGACGTCACAGAGGGTGAGGGACTCAGTCCAAGGGCTGTGGCCTCAACTTGGCAGTTGCAGGATTCGCAAGTGTTTGAAAAGGCCAAGGTGAGTACCCTGGGGACTAAGGGAGCCAACCCTCCGTAACAGTGGAACCATCACGGAGTCTTCGCCCTCAGCCTGAGCACACCTAGGACACGTATGACGGGATGAGAAGACTCTCGGTCCTGGGGGTGGGCAGAGGGTCTCAGAATGACTTTGTACTCAGTATGAGGGGCCAGGCCTCAAAGCAGGTGGGCTCAAAAAATACTGAGGGCAACTCCCACCACCAAATAGTAGGCCCATCAGAGTCTGGTCACTGCCCTGAAAGCCACGGGGCAGGGTTGTGGAGCAGAAGCTGCCAATCACTATTTACATTAGGGCTCTGAAAGACGAGAGCCTGAGTCTGCAGCCACCATTCACCAAACGGCATGGGGGTCCCAGGACCCTTGTGCAAGTGCAATGGCCCAGAATGAAGACTAGGGAATCCAAAGAGGTCAGGGTAGGAGATTCCCTACTGACAAGTCAGCACTGCAAGCACCTGGATGGGAAGCGCCCTTCATTTCCCTTCTGGGGGTTCCAGGGAGGGTTGAGCAATCCAATTCAGATCAGCAGAGGGAATGATTTCCAGGACCTGTCATCTGTTGATGTGACGGTCTTGAGTGTGAATCACGAGGTCCTCTCAACTCAGCAGACCGGCAGCCTGTGCGGCTGTCACGCAGTGTGCCTGAAGCACGCATGGCAGGCTCAGCCCGAGACTCACGCCTTCTTCTTCCACAGGCTGCCCACAGGACAGGCTGACCCGGCGAGCACACGAGCCCCGTGTTCTCCTAGAGCAGGTCCCTCAAAGACGACTGCAAATGTAGCTCTCCTTATAGCCGTGGTGGAACTTCCGTGGTGAAGGCACACACACACCCTCTCAACCTCATTCTCCAGGGAGTCCACCTCACCTAGTCTGCACACGTCCGCCTGCTGGCCCTGACGACATCATCATGCCTCGGGCTCATAAGCGCAAGGGCCGTGCCCCTAAGAAAAGTCGCCATACTGGACAGGACGCCCAGGCTCACAGGGCAGCTCAGGGAGGGACCGAATTGGCAGAAGAGCCCTCCTCTTCTTCTCCTGTTCTTGAGGACATTCCACGGAGCTCATCTGCTGCTGTGTCAGGTACCCCTCCCCCAAGACCCAGCAGCCCTCCCTCCACCAGCACGACTTCTGGACGTGTTCCTGACACCAGACCTCATGAGGGTGACGACAGCCAAGGCGAGGAAGAGCAACAGCCACCTTCCTCGGGGGTCACACCCTCCGCTGACAGATCACACAGTGATGCTTTAGCCACGAAGGTGGATTTGTTGGAGCAGTTCCTGCTCTACAAGTATAAAATGAAACAGCCCATCATGAAGGCAGACATGCTGATGGTGGTTAACACCAAGTGCCCACACCTGTTTGCAGAAATCCTCCAGGGAGCCTCTCGCAGCATTGAGGCTCTCTTTGCGGTGGAAGTGAAGGAAATCAACTCAACCTGTCAATCCTATGACCTCGTCAGCAAACTCAAACTGCCCAACAATGGGAGGGTGCGCCCTGGCAGGGGCTTACCCAAGACCGGTCTGCTGATGACTCTCCTGGGTGTGATCTTCATGAAGGGCAACCGGGCCACCGAGGAAGACGTCTGGAAATTCCTGAACACCATGCGGATCTATGCTGGGAGGAAGCACTTCATCTACGGAGAGCCCAGGAAGCTCATCACCAAGGATTTAGTGAGGCTGCAGTACCTGGAGTACCGGAGGCTGCCTGACACTGATCCTGCACGCTACGAATTCCTGTGGGGTCCAAAAGCCCATGCTGAAACCAGCAAAATGAAAGTCCTGGAGTTTGTGGCCAAGGCCCGTGACACCGTGCCTACTGCCTTCCCATCCCAGTATGAAGAGGCTTTGCGAGATCAGGAAGAGAGAGCCCGAGTCGGAACTGCTGCCACCCCAGGAGCTACTGCCAGAGCCAGACTCAGGTCATGCACATGTCCAGCTGCTTCCTCACTCCTACTCAAATCCAAGGACATTTGCTATCCAGAAGAGAACCTAAGCCACCATGACAGGAGCTGCCTTTAAAATGGGGAAGAATCTCACAGACCAAGGGTTGGGCTAATGCAACATTAAAAAAAAACTTACCCATCTCGGTTTTCCTCATTTCCTTTAGTGTCTTGTTTTGTTAAAGATGCATTTTATTTATTTGAATGTCACAGTGATTGACAGAGAGGAAGAGACAGAGGAAGAGTGAAATCTCCCATCCTCTGGTTCATTCCCCAAGTGGCCATGATGGCCAGGGCTGGGCCATGCTGAAACTCGGCTGCAGGAAGGCATCCCTCATGGGATCATTTTACCTTAGTCACCAATTGTAAAATCTTATTTCCAAAACCAGCCATTCCTGAGTTACTGGAATGTGGATTTCGTATGCAGTTAGGGTACACATTTAATCCCATCAGAGGCATGAATGGGAAGTATCTGCTGTTATCTCCGTGTAGAAGGAAGCCTGGCTTTCTAGTTGTTTCGTACATACTGTCTCTAGGGAGTTCTGCAAACTAAGGGTCAAATGCTTTTGGGATGAGAGGCACAGAGTCCACTAAAGTGGGCATGTTTTGACATGAACTGGGGAACTAGAACGCCTGCTACATTCAAAGGGCACTCTAGGGGCCAGCGCTGTGGCGCAGCAGGTTGGAGCCCTGGCCTGAAGCGCCAGTATCCCATATAGGCGCCAGTTCTAGTCCCGGCTGCTCCTCTTCCGGTCCAGCTCTCTGCTATGGCCTGGGATAGCAGGGGAGGATGTTCCATGTCCTTGGGCCCCTACACTCACATGGAAGACCCGGAGGAAGCTCCTTTCTCCTGGCTTTGGATCCGTATAGCTCAGGCCATTGCGGCCATCTGGGGAGTAAAGCAGCAGATGGAGGACCTCTCTGTCTCTTCCTCTCTCTGTAACTCTGTCTTTCAAATAAATAAAATAAATCTTTAATGAAAAAAAAAAGTGGGGGCACTCTAGAATTCACATGGGTATAATTTGGCCAATCTAAGGCATGGCTAGATTTTGGTATAGGAACCAATGAATAAAAACAGAGTAGGTGTGTGGAATGGTAGTCCTTGACAAAAGTCTGGGAGATGTGTGATATGTCCATGTGCTGAAGAGACCAAACTGGGGCCTGTGCTGTGGCTTAGTGGCTAAGGCCGCCACCTGCAGTGCTAGTATCCCATATGGATGCCAGTTGGAATCCCAGGTGCTCCACTTCCGATCTAGCTCTCGGCTATGGCCTGGGAAAGCAGTAGAGAATGGCCCGAGCCCTTGGGTTTCTGTACCCATGTGCGAGACTCAGAGGAAGCTCCTGGCTTCGTATCAGCACAGCTCCAAACATGTGGCCAATTAGGGAGTGAACCAGCAGATGGAAGACCTATCTCCCTCTCTACCTCTCCTCCTTTCTCTGTGTAAATCTCACTTTCAAATAAATAAATAAATAAATCTTTAAAAAATAGGAGACCAAATTAAATAACAGAAGCACGAATGGGGAAAAGCTGATTTTACTTTTTAAGGTGAATTTCAGCTAATTAAGTGTTTTTAGAGCGCTAGATTTTCTGACATATATTGTATTTTAGAAAATCCCTTATAGGGGGCCAGCGTTGTGCCATAGCAGGTTAAAGCCACTGCCTGCAATGCTGGCATCCCATATGGGCACCGGTTCGAGTCCTGGCTGCTCCATTTCCAATCCAGCTATCTGCTATGGCCTAGGAAAGCAGTGGAAGATGGACCAAGACCTTGGGCCCTTGTGCCACGTGGGACACACGGAGAAAGATCCTGGCTCCTGACTTTGGATCAGCTCAGCTCTAGCCATTACAGTCATTTGGGAGTGAACAAGCGGATGGAAGACCACTCTCTTTCTCCCTCTGCCTTTCCTTCTCCCTCTCCCTCTGGCTCCACCACACTCTGTAACACTGTCTTTCAAGTAAACAAGATAAATATTTAAAAAATTTTTAAAAATCCCATATAGGAGGGTGTTATTGTTTGGGTAAAGATCATCATAACTGCCACTCATTAAAAATGCAGTATTTGCCAGGCATCATGCCAGGTGCTTTCTGTACAGTACATACATCCCAATGCCCCACCCAAATAGGTGGATCTTAGCTTAGGAAGCTGTAACAGAACATCACAGTTCTGTGGCTTCAACGGCATTCATCTCTTGACATGCTGCAGGCAGGGTGCCGGCATACTGGCTCCTGGACAGGACTTCCCCACAGACAGCTGCCTTCTTGCTGTGTCCTCACATGATAGAGAGGCAATAGGAGCATGTGAGTCCATTTTTTTTCTGAGGGCACGAGTTCCATAAAGAAAGCCCCACCTTCTTTACCTCCTTTAACCATATGTGTCTTCCAAAACCCACTCCTCCCAACATCATCACATTGTTTTCTAAGAATTCAACACATACATTTTGGAGAGACACAAACATTCAGTACAACAGGCCTTACCACTCTCAAATGGCAGATGAAGAACATGTAACATTCTCATATTTACAAAGTGGTAAGTAATAGAGCTATTCTACCCATCTGATAGAAATTCATATTCGGCACATGGTGGTATTCCAGTCCCATCAGCCTGAAGCTGACCTTGGATACCCTTTTTCATTCTCTCGCTTCAGTGGTGTATACAATTTCTGTTAGAGCAACACTGAATTTCTTTGGGTTCCTGGCTCCCGGCTTCACCCTGGCCCAGACAAAGCCTTTGCAGGCATCTGAAGAATGAAACAGCAGATGGAAAATTCTCTCTCTTTCTCTCTCTCTCTCTGCCTGTGAAAGCAAGAAAAAAAAAAGAGGGAGAGAGGAAGGTGTGGGGAGCAGGGTCCGTCTCCCGCAACATGGCAGGGCACCCGGGAGAGAAATAAGTACTGAGACTGTGGACTGAAACTAACTCTATGCGTCTGATCTCCCACCATATGGCGCTGAGAGACAGTAAACAAATCTTACACAGCTGCTTCGTTAATTAGCTGATTCCTGACCCAACCACTGTTTGGAAGAAAGCGGCATGCTCAGCACGCAGGCAGCAGAGCACGGATTGGTGGGAGAGGACTATAAAAGGGGAAGAGAGACAACATGCGGCGCCCCCCCCCACCCCCCGAGAGAGTCAGTTGGAGAGTTTGCCGGTGCCACTCCTCCACGGAGGCAGGGGAGCAGCAGCAAATCCGGGAAGGACCGGGGAAAGAAAACTGGCCCGGTGTTGTTCCTCCGCGAGTCGGGGAGCGACAAGTGGTTCCGTGACTCGGATATGGACGCAGGGAGAGAAAGCCAGCTGTGGCGGGGACAGAAAGCCAGCCGTGGCAGGGACAGCATCCGGTCCGGTGTCGTTCCTCTGCGAGTGGGGGAGCGACAGGAAGGAAAGTCTTAAAAAATTTCTTTGGACAAACACATAAAACGGATACTGAAAACTGTACCTTTGACTGCCATTCATGTGATCCTAAACTTACTGAAATTATTTCAACTCTCAAAATACATTGGGTAAAGCCTCCGCTGCAGTGCTGGCATCCCATATGGGCGCCAGTTCGAGTTCTGGCTGCTTCACTTCTGATCCAGCTCTCTGCTGTGGCCTGGGAAAGCAGTGGAAGATAGCCCAAGTCCTTGGGCCCCTGCAGCTGCATGGGAGACCAGGAAGAAGCTCCTGGGTCCTGGCTTTGGATCAGTGCAGCTCCAGCCATTGCAGCCAATTGGGGAGTGAAGCAGCGGATGGGAGACCTCTCTGCCTCTCTTTCTCTCTGTGTGTAACTCTGAATTTCAAATAAAGAAATCCTTAAAAAATACATTTTTTATCTTTTGTAAATGGAGTTATTTATTTTACTAGTTACTTATTTTTTAAATTATAATTTATATAGCATAAATTCTTTTATGTAGCCAGGAGGGAACTTCTTTAATTAATGGCAGCAAACTAAGTAAATTTCTAACTCAACAAAATATTTAAAATTATATTAGACACTATAAAATAAGCATTGTGCTGAATATGATGTGAATATAGAATTTATTCTTTTCAGAATCATCCAAAGCATACAGTCTACATTTTATTTATGTAGAATAAAATGATAGGGCCTGGCACTGTAGCATAGTGGGTGAGGCCACTGCCTACAATGCTGGCATCTGATATGGACACCAGTTATTATCCTGGCTGCTCCACTTCTGGTCCAGTTCCCTGCTAGTGTCCTGGGGGAAGCAGCAGAGGATGGCCCAAGTGTTTGGGACCCTGCTACCCCTGAGGGAGACCTGGAGGAAGTTCCTGGCTCCTGGCTTTGGCCTGGCCAAGTCTCTGCTATTATGGCCATCTAGGGAGTGAACCAGTAGATGGAAGATTCATTCTTTCTCTCTCTTTCTCTCTCTCTCAGAGTGAACCAGTAGATGGAAGATTCATTCTCTCTCTCTCTCTCTCTCTCTCTCTATCTCCCTCTGTACCTCTGACTTCCAAATAAACAAAAAAATGATATTTACGTATTTTTGAAGTAAATTTTTCACCTGATTATTTACTCTGAAAATAAAAAAGCATTAGATTGTAAAGATAATGAAAGGATGAATTATGGTCATCAATCTTTTGACTTTGTTAAGATATTGTAGAAACAGAAATATCATAAAAGATTTCAGTGAAATTTTCTTGGTACTAATAGATCTTAATATGTTGGTGCATGATTTGAACAATCAAGAGATATTAAATGATATGAAAGTTTACTGAAGATATTTGTATTCTTGGCATTCAGTACCACATGAGATATAGTATTAATATTCAATAAACATTTGAAAATAGGAAATATAACTGATGAATAGCATAACATTCAATTATAGGTGGTATTATTTCTTGAATAACACTCTCTCAGAAACTGGCTATTCTTGTATGGTATTTATGTTCACTCTTTTAAATAGAATATCAACTTAATCAGCACATCACATTCTCCTTCCAGGCTAGGTAATACAGAAAAATACCATGTAGAAAAAATGAATACCTTTAAAATTTCACAATATGTATTGACAGAATGTGAAAAATTAACAAGAACCATAAAAAATCATATCTGTGACATTTAAAATACTCTGAAAACTAAATTAACACTTTAAAATCTACAACGTGCAAGAAATAGACATGCAAACTGTTGTGTCAAAACTTTGGCAATGGGGGACCAGCACTGTAG